GGTTTCGTGGCAGGCGCAGTACTTTGTGAACCTCGAAGTGCAGACGTGAATGGATTGTTTCATATGCCTTGGCAACGTACGAGGGCAGGCGACCGAAATAGAGAACAAAATCAATCGCCTGGAGCCCTATGTGGGAGGAATTGGAAGATTAAATTAAGAGGTGCGGCAGCAGCGTGACAACATCCAACGCCAGTCACGCTGACTGACCGCAACCGAACTGATGCGAATTTCACTGCACTACAGTGACACATGTGCAGAGTTCGAGCGTGCAAAGGCATGCACCATGTGCACAGTCTGCATGGGTGCTACAATTTAGGTCAACGTCATGAGCAGCCGCCCATGCAAGACGACGCGCGCAAAGCGGGAAGAACTTGAACGCATTTAGGCCCAAATCATTTGGAAAAAGATCCAGTTGTTTCGCAAAATTCTTTTAAATTCCTTTTGGCCCAATTGATTTCCAAAGCGGTGTGATTGAGCCTATTGCATTCACAAAGCGCTGTAAAATACGATGCCTTTAAGCATCTGATAGGCAAAACCTACATCCTTACCAACGCCCGCTCTTTTTTTTTCACCAAGGTTCGGCCAGAAACGTGAAGACCTGGGTGATGAGTATCTGTGGGGTGCTGGCAGCTCCTTCGATGAAGACATGGCAGCCTGGCTTTTGAGTGTCCTTGAAAGGGCTGGCGTGCGAATCTTTTTTTTGGTTCCCGGGGCGAAAAAACAGTGTGTCAGGGAAAGCAAGTGACATCCACAAGGTGACGCCTCAAGCTTCACGTGTGGGAAGCTTACCGTGGTCGAAGGGGTGTGAGGATCAGGTTTGTGTTGTCAGATGTTGGAGGCTTTCTGAAGACTTTCCGGGGGCTTTGTGCTGCTCTGAACCCATGTTTTGCAGCGGGTTCCTTTGGCAAACCCTGCTAACCGCCAACTGGTCAACCCACAGATCAAGCAGCAAACATGGCTAGCTCTCTCCATTTGTGTCCTTGCTGCTGAGAGGCATGCTTGGACACCATGCAGGTACTGACTGTTGTTGACCATCCCTTAATTTGAACATGGCAATGTTTAGTGTTAGTCTATTTTTTTTGGGATCTGTTTGTTTCGTTTAGGATGGTTCTTTGGATGCGTTTCTCCATGGTTTTCATGTTTCTTGTTGCTTTCTTGCTGTGTCATGTTTTTCTTGCTTTTCCTGTTGAGAGTTGTGTGCTGTTTTGCTTTTCCTTGCTTTTCTGCTGCTTTTCTTTACTTCCTGCTTCTTGTTTTCTTGTGGCGTATTGTGTCCCTTTGTTTTTGGCTCTGCCGTTTTTGTTGTTTTCGTTTTTTCGAGCTTTCGATGTTTCTGTGGGTTTCGCACGTTCTTTGCTTTACAGTCACTAGGTCACTAGGTGTATTCCATCGAGAAGGGCGTGTATATATAATAAACAAATTGTTCATATGATGCACTCGGATTGCCCCTGAAGGTGAAGGAAGCACTGATGGCGTCTCATGCTTGTTCGCCCTGTGACCGTTTTTGTTGGCCTGGCTCGAAATGGAAAATGGCCTCGAAATGGGCAATTTCTCAGGTAGCTTTTCACTTCCACAGAAGGAACTATGGAGACATCATGGCACCAAACGAAACAAACAATCACGAAACAACATCCCACCCATATTCAGTCCGTATTTTGTGCCCAAGCAACCCAGTGCAAGGTTCAGCACCCCAAGCTTGGATAGGCAAAAAATCTTTTTCATGTTGTGTTGTTCAGTCATCCCTCTCATCTTCTGAATCGTCCTGCGGTTTCTTGCGTGTTCGAGACAACGTGGAAAACCAGACTCTGACCGACCCCAAAAACATTGCCCAAGGAGCGTGAGCTCATTTTGATGCTGCTGCGTCGGGCGGTGGCCTCCGATGCTCGGCAGTGCAGGGGGGATTGATGGAGCCAGTGGGGCGTTCCACTTGCAGTGGGGTTGGGTATCCTCAGCAGGGAGTGCCTTTTTGTGGCTCCTGTCACAAAGGAGAAGAACTCCCTGTCACTATTGTGAGGCCCCAGTGGCTTCACCTAGAAGAACTCCCATCCGAAAGGCACCCAACAGGTCCTAGTCCTATGACGAGATTAGCTGACCTCTCTCTCTCTCTCTCTTGAAGCCAGACTCTTCGGGTGGGGCCTCGGTGCTGCGCCCAGGTTCCTGAGAATGTGGCCTCGGCTCAACAAGAGATGCCGCTGCTTGAGATGATGATAGTGTCATGGCGTATTAAAGTCGTTTGTATTGGCATATTACACTTTGTTGGTGCTGAAGCTGAAGCACCACTGAAACTTCGCTTTTGCTCCTTTTAGCCATTTGCCGCTTGAAGCCCTCCTTAGTTGAAATGACCTGCCATGGGTTGGCTCCAGGACCCCCCAAAAGGGATTTGGTGTCCGACTCGTGATTCGTCCGAGTCGAAGCGCGGACTGGGTTCGACACTCTGCTGCCCTGGGCGGTTTTGGTTCACTCGATGCCTCTTTGGAGGCGCGTGGTGGCCCTGGCGCGGCCCCAGAACCCTCGCGGGCGCCGCGAGAGAAGCCTCACATGGTTCGGATCCAGGCACATGGGCCGCAAAGTGCAGCTCGTGGAAGAAGTTCTGTGCCACTTCAGATATGCAGGGGGTTGTCCAGAATTTGAAGTGCTCTGGGGCTTCCAGCTGGTGCAGAACTTGCATCAACAGTTGAAATCAAAGATTCGGTTGACATTTTCGCTTCCTTTGTGGGCTTCCTCTGTAGTCCTTGCCCTGTGGGCACCCCGATGGGGTCTGGCTCGGCGTTCCACGCACAGGACAGGGCCGAGCTGCAAAGGTTGTACAAAGAGATGGCCCCTTGGGCAGCATCCTGGAGACCAGGCGAAACCAGTGCGGCCCGCAAGCCAGGTGAAATCAGTGAGGGCAAGCCAGGTGCTATATATTGCTTCCCGCCTTCGCCAAATGACTGACATGGGCCTTCCCTGCTTAAGCACTGCAGAAAGCTAAGGAGTTTGCCGGATGATGTGTTGGGGGTCGGGGTGGGGTGGGTGGGGGTGCATGGCCACCCTTTGCGTGGCACCGAGGTTTTCAGATGTCCCCATCCACTGGCTACCATGTCCATCGAGGAAGCTGCAGATCTGGAGATTGAAGAGATGCGAGACCGTGAGGCCTGGCCCAGGAGTTTGGTTTTTGGACAGGCCAACCTTTCCAGCGATGCTTTTTCGGGTGCGTTTGAGCTCAGAGATTTCACCCTACAAACGATTGGTAGGTATATAGAGAAGTAATCGCACGTCGCACTTAAGACTTAGCCAAAGAGTTTAAGAGCGCGTTGTTCCCAACACTGGAATAACCAGAGCCGGACCAGTTCTGATGCCAAAAAGGCTCAGATGCCATGGTGCACCATGCTGCAAATTTCCGAGTCTCTTTCAGCAACAGGGGCCATTCTTGGTTGCCGCCCAAACCGTTTCTGGTTCTGGCCAAGGCTGGATCTTTGAGAATGCTCACCAAGCAGAGCGATGCAAACACTTCCTCCGCCACAAGTAGGTTGCAGCAAGTGCAACCTATGTTTGAACATCCTTTGGAGCAGCTATATAGCACATAGTTAGTTCGCACTGTCTCAACGTGTCTCACCCTCACCTCTTCGGTCCCTTCCCGTCTCACCTCGACTGAACCGAGACGACGCTCGGCCGACCCAGGCGGCCCAGGCGCTACGCGCCGCCGAGGCGCGGGCCCTGGAGGCCGAGCGATGGTCGGGGGAGCCCAGCGAGCGACGGTCGCCAGTCTCGGGAGGAGGTTCTTCGAAGGAGGAGGTGCTTTTTCCCCCAAACAGCTTGGCTAGGTTTCTAAATTCTTGCATAGAAACGATGCTGGGCCAAGATGATTTCCGCCCTTTGTCTCCCCTTGTCTCCCATGGCGTGTCTGAATGCTGGGTTGAGATGATTTTGCTTTGTCTCCCTTTGTCTTTCCTTTGTCTCCCCTTGCCTCCCTTTGTTTCCCACGCCATGTCTGGAGATGATTTTGCTTTGTTTTGATGTTGACTGGAGAATTTCGAGTGTATATACGTCATATAACTCCGACTGGTGTTTCTTCTCGGTCCTGCCTACACTGGAGTCCGGTTTCGGTTCGTAGATGCGTGGAAGAGGACGGAAGAACGTGCAGTGAATTCCTTGGAGCTTTTGTTTCCCCCTCACGTCTCCAGACAAAGCGTCTCGGAAATATGCAGATAGGTGCAAGTTTGGTGTTGGAGCCTGCTCTCCCGTTGCGACGGTGCCGGTGGCCAGACAAAACGGAACCTTTCTACATTCGTTCTCGAATTCTCTTGGTCTACATCGTCTACGGTCAAGTCGGTGACATCAAACCAGGCGGTCCGCTGGTTCGTCTAAACAGCCGAGAAGGAGCATCCGGTGAAGTAGTGGTATAATGTGCATTTCGACCGTTTGGACATTGGCAGTCTGAGGTGGGATGGTGATCGTTATGGTGCTCAAGAGGAATGGGAAGACGAGCAGAAGTGACCTGGCAGGTTCCGGCACTCCCTAGGTGTTTCCAACAGAGACGAGTCGTAGCTTCACAGACCTGGTCCTCAAATCAGTTCGTCGCTTGCTGCCACAACACTGTGGTGCAGGGTTTCACTGGTATCAGGCGAACAGTCATGAATCAAGCTGACAGCAGCAACCTGCCTGGACCAGCTTCCCACTGAGGTTGTACAAAGATCGTGTTCCTTGGCTCGAGCCATGCGTATTGTCCAGTTGTCCTGACCAGTGGGAGAGGCTAACATTGGCTGTTTGGTGTTGAGGCTAGGCACAGCTTGAGTGTTTAGAGCCGGCCCCCAGGAAGGCTCCGAGTTATGCATCCATCAGAAGTGTTTTGGCAAACGCATTGGAAGGACCCACGTCAGCACGGTCAGCACAATGACTCCAAAATCCAAACATGAGCCATGGTGAAGCTACTGTATCTGTTTGGGGGCCACTCGGTGCGCTCTTTTGGGGACCGCCAGCGGTTTCGGGGACGGATGTTGCCCTTGCGGTCCTTACGGCCTGGTGATGGCGATGCCAAGGACTTCGATGCCTTCAAAGATGAACATCCCTGGGGCTCTGGGAACAAGATGGCCAACGTGGGGTGAGCAGGTGAGCAGCCGGAATGTACAGAGGACAGATGGCTGAAGGATGAAAAAGGAGGATTGCCGTGTGAGATGAGGCAGAGGAAAGTTCTAGAAGCTCACAGGTGACATGCTCGAGGTCCGTCCCTCCTTGGCGCGTGTAGCGCTGAACCCCTGATAACCCCGCTGAACGGGACGTTCAGATGCGAAGATCCCTCGTTGGATGGCTTTCGGCATCGAACAACTGTGACAACTGAACAACTGCGCTTTCCACCAGCCCCGGATATAAGGCCTACCTGGGCCTGGCTCAGGGCACATGCGACTTTGAGCATGTGGAGGCTAGCACCTTGACCTCCGAGGACGGGTCAAACCAAAGAGATCATCCAAAAACCATACCAAAAGGCAGAATTGTTTAGGTCTTTCTCGTCACGCCCTGTTTTTTATCTTTTTGTGTCCTGGGCATCGAACGAAGCACTGTTTGTTGATCGTTTGGGTCCTTTCCCTGTTCCGTGCCTTGTGGGGTTGTCGTTGACTGAGCGGTGGGCTCTTGGCGGAACGGTGACCCTTTTGACACCGACGTCACCGACAGCGGATAGATCGACGGTTTCGACCCGTTTCGACGGTTCTTCGTTTGGATTGTTCCGTCGAGGCGGATGTTCAGAACATGTGTTTTCCTTTTCAACTAGGGAACTATCCCCTGATTGGCCTTCTCATGTCATTTTCTAAGGGCATTCTGTTGTCCGCTGATGGTATTTCCAGCTGCCCTGTAGGGCGCTGGATGGCCTCCGTACACATCCACATTTGGGAGATTGACGAGCTTCCAAAGGGCCCTCAAAAAAACTTGGGTCTTCATAGCTAAACATGCTAAAACGACAAAAAAGCAAAGGCTCGGTATCAATTTATCATTATCATAGCAATTGAACAAATGTTGCAACAATACCGAAAAATTACAATACAACTGAATATGTCATCATGATCAATTCATCCTTTTTCCATGCTCGCTGGTGGTTGCCATGCGACGAGGAGTTTCGACGTCGCTTCCGCACGGGTCCATCCAGCGTGGGCCGCAGCGGGGTATGGCTTTGCTGTTGCGGTACTGCGACGCGAGTCAATCCTGGTAGGATTTTGATGGATGTTGACTGCATGGAGCGGGAAAACTGGCTGGAAGATTCAGATTTTGAGTTGCAGGATGGGCCTGGTGTATCCACGAACAGCATCACACTGAGGCCCTGGGACGCCCGTAGTGCTCACAGGCCTAAGTCGGGAGGCTTACGGGAGGCAGTCGGCAGGTCGACTGGTTGGAAGGGGCTTGTTGAATTGCAGGCTTAGGCAGCTTGGCATACAGAACATACATGCTCAGAACCTTGTTTCACCACGCTAAACGCTCCGAACTTTGCAAGTTGGTTGAAGGTTGTTGTAGCTAGAGCCCAGATGGTGGTCGTCTCATGAGGTCTCGGTTTCCCCCAACACACTTTGGTCGGATGGTTCCTGAGTTAGCGACGAACTCAACATTTGCTGAGGGCATGGTTCGTTGTGGGTCGGCGCGCAGATCTTCCGCAAAGCCATCTCAATCCAAGTGGAGAGCTCTTTGAGCCAAATGTCGGCGATCAAAGCGAACGCACACATGGAGCCAGGGTGAAGAGACACCCCTGAACCTCCTTATTTTGTAAATACACACCCCACAATGACAACAGGAGTCCTGGAACAGACCCTTCGGGCGGAATCATCGAATCATCACCTCGAGTACCCGCTGCGAACGAGCATGCATTGCATCGAAAGCGCTTTGGAGAATGTGGGCCATGTCCCGCTCCAGGCCGGAGCAGCAAAGAGTGGAAATTGGATGAACTTGGCATCCGGATGGTGTCAAGGAAGCGCTCAAGCATGTGGACGAGTTTTCTCCTAAAATAGATTGAAGGAATGTCCAGCATCAACAGCGGCCTTTATTTGTTGCTCTCTTTTTTTTTTTGTGGGGGGTGTTGGAGGTTGCAAAACCTGCTGCTACACGTAGAGATCAGTCAGTGACAGTTGGCACTGGAACATGTGGAGTAGAAGGGTTCGAGGAAGGACATACGTTTGCAATCCTACAGGAGGCCAATGGAGGTCCTTAGTCAAGCCTACAAGCCTACAAAGGAAGCAGGTGAAAGTCGAAGCACTCAGGTTGAACAAAACCTACACCTCGTCTTCATGATTCTTCATGTCTCCGAGACCTATGCTCCTGGAATCCAGATGCTTCTGGCTCTAGGGATTCGAGCGATCTCCGAGATGCATCGCCCCAGGCATCTGCTGGGGAAGCACTGCGCGTGGCGCAAGTCACAGACGTGCACCGCTTCCCGTGCAGCTGCCGTGTCTGGCAGAATGGTCGTGGGAAGGACGTGGACTTGGAGAGTTATGAAGCAGAAGGGGAGGCGGGCTGTGGCACCGGTAGTGGCACCGTTTATTTTTTTTTGGGGGGGGAGGGGGGTGAAGATGGCGATGGGGCCCAAATGATGGCGATGCGTCTGGAGGCCCCCAAGAGGATCGTTTGCATCGTGGCGGTCTTTTTGAAGCGTCCCATTGGTAGTGCCAGATGGGCGCTCTCAGGGTGAAGGTTTTGTCAACGAAACCATAGGCGCGGAGAGATCTGCTATGACCCCTCCCCAAAACCATGCATCTATCCACTCTAGATGTCCTGGCAGGGGAAGATGAGAGCTAGTTGCTCGGTGTTCCTTGGGTTTGCTGTGTTTCTTCACCCGGAATGAGGTAGCCGCACGTTGAGCAACCCGAGTCAGGTGGGGATTGTGGACGCGGTCCTGAGAGGCTTGGCAGGATTTCAGGATATGCTTTCAGTGTGGAGGCATTCTAGTTGAACCTGAAATGTGGTGTGTGCCGTGGATGCAGCTAAAGAAGGCTCCACTACTCACTACTCCTTTCTCGACGGCTCCTGGCCGGTTCCTTCAGCCGTTGGTCAGGTGGCTTCGGGGTGCGTCAAGTTCAAATGGCTAGACGTGCCCTTGAGATCATAGACTGTCATAGACTGTGACTGAGGACAAGCCTGCCCTCACTTGGTGATCTTCACTGGTGACATCATCGACGGGAGGCCGTGCAGGGTCGATCCAGGGTCCCTTTTAAGCGGCAAATCGATCACTGGGGGATGATGAAGTCCCTCGAGGGTTCCCAACGATGATGATCACTAGCCTTTCCCTCAGGAAAGCGAACGGACCTAAGAACCAGTCAAACCTTCGAGCTTCTTTCGCTTTGATTCTTGCCTCTCTCCCCGACGGCTCGGAAAACTACCATTGACCTGGTCCATGGGTACCTTCGATGCACTCCGAACGCAGGCCATTCCAACAGATGAACGAGAAGGACTGGAAGTCTTCAATGATGACGTTGCTTGAACCTCTTCAACGTGCGAAGTGCCTTTGATAGGTTTCAGGTGGCAGGTGGGACGATTCGTGGATTTGGACGAGTCCGACACTCAGGGATTCCGGGATTCGCAAGTTCAAGGTGAGTGATGGCTGGGATGGCAGGGGTTGACAAGAATGCGATGAAACCTACAACAGGACTACACCCTTGGCCTTCACAAAGAGACAGAATGAAGCACCCTCCCCAAATGTCACTTATATAATCCTGTCCTGGAATGCCGTGAATTTGAGAACAAGCCCCGGGTGGCGGAAAAGGGGTGGAGGCCATCGCTACTAGGGTCCTGTTCTCGAATGCCGTCAGTTGCTGTAGGGTGCCGTGGACCTTCGTTCCTGGAAACCACGATGATGATGACGCACCATGGAGCAGAGATGATCCTTGAATGAAGGAGAGTTGCCACCAACCCAGGAGGTCACTGCAAATCTCAAGTTGAGACAAATCCAGATGCTCCTTCAAAAGGACCCAGGCACCAAATGTGACCAGCATGCGTCATGTGTCCATGTGTTCTTGAACCATTGAATCAGCTGCTTGTCGCGTCGCGACCGGAACTAGTGGGACCCTGAACCTGTCAGGCCGGCATCTATGTACTGTATATATATATATATATGTGTGTGTGTGTATTATAGTATTATAGTATGGATATATATATATATATATATTAGGGGATGACGATGGGCCGTTCAACCTGAAGCCCGACCAGTCCACCATGTAGCGACCCACCGCGTCTCGGCCCCTCGACGCCCAGGAACTGTTGGAGATGTATGATTTGCCGGGCTGCGCGTCCAAGGGCTCCAAATCCTTCAACCACACCTTCACTGTAGGACCTCCAAATTCGGCTTCTTTTTTTGGGTTGCTTGGTGGCCGGGAGGAGGCGGGGATAGTCGTAAACACCTCAAAGTAGAAAGAAAGCTAAATACTGCCAAGGCCGCCAAGGTCATAGAATGCACCGAGCTTCAGATCAAAAGGATTCAGAAGCCTGCTTTAATCTGGGTCGTTGGTGAATCCTGCCAGAATCTTACCAGGCCGCCAAGGTCAGATTGATATGTTTGGTTCGGAGGACCTGCGGGCACGAGCACCTTGCGGCTGTGGTTCTTTGCAGCTTGGACCTGGTATATAGAGGACGGAGAGTGCTGAGATTCCAGCCGCGTATGTGGGTTTGTGTGCAGTTGCTTTCTTGGTGGAGTTAGTTGCTTCATCACGCTGAGGATTCTGGAGGAAACAATCCGGACCCCAACATTCGTGCCTCAGCTTCAGACTCTTCTTAGTCACCACCCTACCTGAAGAGTATAGGCACCGGGCACTGGGCGTAGCAGCAGACCCCAAATCAGTGCGTCAGTTTAGCAGAAGGGTGACACGCCCGACCGGAGTGTTGACCTGACCCGCTTGCGGGGTCACCTCATCTCTGCGCCCGGTCGTGTCCCTGGGACGTGCGGTCCGGTGGAAGTCCTGGGTGGCCCGAAGCACTCGGGTCCTCGGTACGGTGGAGGGGTGGCGCTGGCCGTGGTCGCGAGGCTACGATGCGATTCCCTGCGACGTGGTGGAGAGCTTCCGGCGACAGGCGAAGGAGCTCTCCTGCGAAGCACTGCCCTGGCTGGCCTACTTCCATATCCCGCGCCACGGCGGCACGGAGTTGTGGTTCAGGTTTCATTTCCGGGAGTGGGTGGATCTTTGCTGAGATTGCGGGCAGGATTTTGTGGATTGCATGGATTGTTCAAGACTTGGCACGCGCAGGCTGCCAGAGTATGGCAACCTGGTGCCCGTGCATGGGACGCAGAACCTCTTTGAGGCGGCTCTGAGTGTGGCTTGGCTGTGGGGAGTGGGACAGCGAGGCTCACCTTCAAAAATATGGGCCTTCAAATCAGACAATTCAGCTGATTAGGTGAAGGCATATATATATATAGGTATGCTGGTAGGCCTGGTTGAGTGGATGCCAATTTTCGCGATGAAGCTTGAGAAGCTTGAGACGAGATTGAGGCAAGCTGTCAGTGGCTTTCCAAAGGTTGAGCGTTGTGAGACGAGATCTTCTTTAAAAGCTCCCTCCAAATCAAACAAGGCAGCCACACAGTTCCCATGATGCCTGAAATCCGGAAGCAGTGCTGGCACTACTGACTACTGTTCATGGACTTAGAAAAGTTCTCCGCACGGTGCGCTTTCTGCGGGGACTCTTCCCGGGAGGGGCTGGATTTGGGCAATTTGCGGTTGGTTCAAACTGTGTACGCCCGCATGGATGTGTCCTTTGGGCATTAACGCGCGCCCACCTACCCACCTACCCGATTTTCCACTTGCCACAGCCAAGGCCAGCTCCAAACCGAAACAACACCAGTGGCCCAGCCGAGGTCAATCCCACCCCAGGCCAGCGCCCTCACGCCGAGGCGGGAAAGGTGCCAAGGCCCTGGTGTTGGGTTCCCTCACTGGTGCGGCTCTTGGGCTATCACCGTGTGGTCGGCAGCTCCAAGCTCAACAGTGGTCGCTTGATCGCACGGAAGAAGAGGGCCGAGCAGGATGGGGTGAAGTGCGGCCAGCTCGGTTTGGAGTGGCAACCGGAAGAAGATGCGGTTGACTATGGTTGACTTATGTGGGTGCAGTCAGAATTGACTCACCACAAATGTTGGTCATCCGCAAGTGTAGGTGGGCATGGTGTTGGGCTTCTCCAAGGAATAGCCCACCCACCAGGATGCCCTGACACTCTAGACTCTAGGTAAGAAGGAGGCCGATGGAACCACGGAATCCATGAATGCAACAAACATCCACGTACCCGGCATGCATCTCCTTGACACAAAATCCGAGAATTCTCGGAGCTGTGGAAAAGACCTACCCTTCCAAAGCCTTGGCCCCCAGAAGGCGTCGCTTGCGACCCTTC